TCTCTGAGCTTTTGTTTCCTCATCTGAAAAATGAAGCCGAGGACTGGATAATTAATTACCAAGGTCACATCCAGCTTAGACTTCTTTGATACTCACAATAAATTGCAGCGTCATCTCATATGTCTTCTATGAAAGGCCTCTCAGCTGAAAATGCTTTTTTACTAGGACTCTCTTTCATTTCTGTTCTTTTCATTGTTACACTCTACCACAGAGCACCAAAGGGTCAGGAGGTGATGCATCTGAAGGGGAAAAAAAAAATCAGTCAACACTCAGCCTTCCATCTATTATCTGCTACTACCTAGGAAGTGGGAAATTAAACTATAGAACCCAAACTCCAAGGGCTCAGTGTAAATCACCCAGATACAAAAGAAATACTCAGAGGGACATTTGGGCTGGTTTCTGTAAAGTTTCCAGTGAATGAGACAGATATTCATTCAAGTGTGAGTAAATCAAATGGAAACACAAAAACTATGTCTGCTTTTATGTTTTGAGTATTATAAATATTAAAATTGCTTAATGAGTGGACTCTCAGCCTGCTGGTTGATCTTCTACTCTGACAGCGACACATATTTAGTGAGCTCTCAAAACAGAGGTGCCGCATTTGAGCAGTGATTGTACGCAAGGTCTGTGTGCATCTATAGCAAAGAGAAGAGGACGCTGGCCACACGTGGACATGGAACCACCAAGCCACTGCTGCCTTTTGGTAGAGGTAACGCAATTCCTTTTCTCTAAGAAGTCTTCTCCCACTCTTATGGAAGGACGCACATAAAGTATTGCCTCAGCCATGATTGGAATATCATACCTGCCATCTGTGGGATAATTCTTAGAGTTCAGAGGGATCCAGAAGAGGTTTCCCTTGAGATCTGTGCAGCCAAGACACAGCACAGAGCATCAAAGTATCTAAAGATTACTCTGGCATCAGCTCCTCAGCCAGCAATAGAACCCATTCTGTTGACCTTTTCTTACGTTGGCTACCCACTAAAACAGCCTGAAAACTTATACCTGGAAATACCTATCATACCTTGGGAGGCAAGCACTGGGTCATGGGATCCAGAGCAGAATTTAGAAGTCACTGCAGTTGAACTCTTCCCTAAACTTCACCCCATGTAGAATGATGACGCCACAGCTGTCTTCCCTGCACCAAGGACTCCAGCCCTCCAGATGTGGTCCCACAGTCTGATGGGATCACTGATCCTCTGAGATTCATGGCATTTCTTCCCATCAGCAAGAAAAATGTGACTGCCTCTTTCTCTTCTGTTAAAATAACGCGCCCTTCTGGTCAGCATGGAATGAAAGCCCTCCAAGGCAAAAGAGTGACTTATTTCAAATGGTTCCTTTTTTTTTTTTTTAAAGATGCTCATCCTCTTTATTTATTTATTTTTTAATTAGTTGGAGGCTAATTACTTCACAATATTGTAGTGGTTTTTGTCATACATTGACATGAATCATCATGTAGTTCCCATTCTAGTTATAATTTAGCTAATTGCTTAATAATTCTATTTAAATGTCTCCATTGCTGCAAGTATCATTTCATTAGACCTGCTTTTTTCTGGTTAGAAATCCCTCTGCTCCCCTAAATATTTGCTGCCTCATTCTCCCGTTTGTAATTTTGCCAGAGCAGCATTCCATGCGACATAAGTAGCATCCCTTCAAAGAGGAGTTGGACACATCAGGGTGCCTCTCTGTGTTCCGGAGCCCAGGCTCTCTATTCTCTGTCCTTGAAGCAGTACCTGTGATTGGGAAAGATCTGAGAATATGTCTTTAAGAAGCTAGCTTCCCTGCCAGACAAATAAAACTGCAGTCACCAGCAACCCTGACACACCCCTGCAGTGAGGGTCTGCTGTGCTTGACAGAATAAGAGAGGCTGCCTGAGAAATAACCCAGGCCCATCCTTTAGGAGCCTACAGCCCGACTGGCAGCTGGGGTTATATTTACACCAAAGAATACCATCAGAGCAGAGGCCTTCTCAGAGCACAGCAGTCTGTGGTTGGACACATATACACACACCTCACACACACCACACACTGCATGGTGGGAGAATGCACTCCTGTGGAAGTCGAGAACCAGGGTGGGATCTGTGCTCCAGGGATGAGTATGCTTCCTGCCCAGGCAGCCTATAACCCACCCTTTCTGCCAAAGGTTGGTTAAGCCAGGGTACTAAACAGTCCCTGGCATCTTCCTTGTCATCCTTCTCTTCTGTGTTCAAGCAGCTAAAGATTTCAATGTTGCTTTTAATTTTTCGTTTGAAATGATGTTTTTAGTGCCAAATGTTCCAGCTTTAAAGAATCACATTGCTTCATCCAAATGCTCACGTCCCAGTGAATGCCAACACAATCCTTCCTGCCTTTGAAGAAGTGAGAAAGTGTGTGAGGGAACTTAGAGTGATGGGGGAGAGGCCTCCAGCTTCCTCCCTGGAGGCTTTCTCAGACCGGTGATGAATAAGAAGTGACATAGTCAGGTAACTACCAGACAAGAGAAATCAGGAGAGGGTGAAATGGGAAGCAGGAGATGTGAGGTGTCAGAGGGGAAGGAATCAGGTGTCCCTGGGTCAGAAGGACAGGACAGCCATTACTCTGGGTTCATGGAATGCCACCTTTTTTTTTTCTTTTTATTTTAATTGTTTTATTTTTTATTTTTTTAAATTTTTATTTCATAGTATAGTTGATTGAGAATGTTGTGTTAAGTAAGATGGTCCTAAAATAAAAAGGTTGTGTTTCAGGCGTACAGCAGATTCAGTTATACATACACATGTATCTATTCTTTTTCAAGTTCTTTTCCCATTTAGGTTATTACAGGATATTGACTAGAGTTCCCTCTGCTATATAGTAGGCCCTTGTTGGTTATCTATTCTGTTTTTAAATGAATTAATTTGGTTGCACTGGATCTTCCTTGCTTCGCATGGACTTTCTCCAGCTGTGGCAAGCAAAGGCTGCTCTCTGGCTGTGGTTTGTGGCTTCTCGCTACAGCGGTTTCTCCTGTGGCAGAGCTCGGGCTCGAGGGCACTCGGGCTTCAGTCGTTGCGGCGCCCAGGCTCAGCGGCCACTACGCACGGGCTCAGAGCTCCCACTCAGAGGCTGTGCCACATGGACGTAGCTGGCTCACACCACGTGGACTCTTCCCAGACCAGGGACTGAACACATATCCCCTGCGTTGGCAGGTGGATTCTTAACCCCCGGACTACCGGGGAAGTCCTGTCTGTTTTAAATATAGCAATGTGTACCTGTCAATCCCAAACTCTCAGTCTAGCCCTCCCCTCCCACCCATCCCCCACTGGTAATCATACATTTGTTCTCCAAGTCTGTGAATCTGTTTCTATTTTGTAAATAAATTTGTATCATTTTTTTAAGATTCTGCATGTAAGTGATATCATATGATACTTGTCTTTCACTGTCTGATTTCACTAGTATGATCATCTCTAGGCCCTCCATGTTGCTGCAGGTGGCATTATTTCATTCTTTTCAGTGGCTGAGTAGTATTCCACTGTATATGTGTACCATATCTTCTTTATCCATTTTATCTGTCAGTAGACGTATAGGTTGCTTCCATGTCTTGGCTATTGTAAATGGCACCGCTGCGAACATAAGAGTGCATGGATCCTTTTAAACCATGTTTTACTCCAGATATATACCCAGGAGTGGGACTGCAGGATCATATGGTAGCTCTATTTTTAGTTTTTAAAGGAACCTCCACATTGTCTCCATAGTGGCTCTTACCAGTTTACATTCCCAGCAACAGTGTAGAAGGTCTCCCTCTTCTCCATCCCCTCTCCAGCATTTATTGTTTGTAGACTTTTTGGTGATGGCCATTCTGACTGGTGTGAGGTGATACCTCATTGTAGTTTTGATTTGCGTTTCTCGAATATTTTCGTGTGCCTCTTGGCCATCTGCCATGTTTTTAAATTAGACCTGTCTCTGTAAGCAGATGCAGCACTAGGAGATGGATGTGAAGGAGGGAATTCACTGTGGAGGCAGGTAAAGAACTAGCAGGACACTAGTTCTGCCCACTCAGGGACACAGTGTAATCAGTGAAGGCAGTGTAATCCTCCTCAGAGCTCTCTATTTGCAGGTTCCTTTCAGGCTAAGGTCTCATACTTTCCTTGACCACAGTATCCTGCCAAGTGAGGTCAAAGCTGACAGAATGGATCTGGAAAAGAATAGAGGGGAGATGTGTGTCCTTCTGTTTGACTTGGTACTCATGGCCCACCCCTGTCCTAGCACTGGTCGCTTATTGCGTGAGGCACGGGGCAGAAACAAGGTAAAGCCTGTAAAATGCCAGCAGTCCGCAGGGTAATACCTGGTGATGTGTACATAGCCTGGGATTGTCCACCGTGAACCAGGCCTCAGGGCTCTAATCAATCTGTGTGTGTGCCATTGATTTTTATTTATCTTTCTTAAAAAGCAACTCTGAATTGCTTTGGAATTTGAAATGATGCCCTCAAAGAATTATAATAACATATAAACTATTGTTCAACCTCTGCATTTCTAACTGTCTCTTTTATTCATCCTAAGTGTTTTTTATTTCTTTGTTTTTCTTATTGAGCATCTAAAATTCTTGCTGAGTCATTAGCTTTCTGCAAAGTTTTAATCATTTAATCTGGGTGGTATTGCCTGAGGAAGCCAAAGATCAAAAGAACAACAGTGATAACTAATACTTAAATGATGCTTAGCATTGAATAGAACTGTTTAGGTATTTCACATGTGTTAATTTATTCCATCCTCACCACAGACTTATGAGGTAAGTGTTACTGTTAGACCCATTTTACAGATGAGGAAACTGAGGCATGGAGTCACACAGCTGCAAGTGGCAAAACCAAGGTATGAAACTAAACTCTGGCTCTCAGAACTGTATTTCTCACCACTATGAATCACATGTGTCTCTCTTCACACTGGGAATGGAATGGCCAGGAATGACACTGTTATTTTTAACCTTTAAAAATAAAAGTGCAAGCTCTTAATTTATTGTACCATTAACCATTCTGTTTTTCCCTCCTACACTCTCAGATGATGGAAATGCTTAAAGCACACTAAGGTAGTGTGAGACTACGCCATGTAAGTGTGAGCATGGCTGTGTTTCGTGCGCTTCTGCCGACCATCCCCGCATGGCTCCTCTGCTGTTCTGACTCCCGCTTCCGCCGCTTGGCAGTGGGGCCGCATGAACCGTCACTTTTAAGCCATAGAGCGCCTGTCTTTGTTCCTGATTCTGTATTTGTATTTCTCTCTCCTACAATCCCCAGAGAACTGCCGCTGTCAGCCTGGCACCTCCCTGGGAAGGAGCTGGGGATGCCTGGAGAAAGCGTTTGGTTATTGTTCTCTGACAATGAGCCCTCATATTGTCAGCTTTTAGGATTCTGGGCATGTGAACACATTCTCACGGCAGCATTCTACTCCATAGAGTGAAAACGTGTGTAGGCTCCTCATGCAAGCTGTGGTCACCAGTGCATCTTTGCTGTGCAGTGTTCTTCTGGGGCCATCAGCTTAAACAGATAATTGCTCTGTGAATCTTCACAGGTGTGAATGCCATGTGAAAATAAATACCATGCGGCAGGGTTAAAATGAGCTATGGAGAAAAGTGGAAATCTCATTTCTTTACTGTTTTCTCTGTACCTTTGTATATGGTGGACACATATACATATGTTGAACAAACATGTGATTATGAATGAGAAAGGGGAATAGTGTTTAAGCCACGTATGGGTTATATTGGCCTTTCATTGTACACACACACGCATGTGCACACACATTCCCTTTTGGTGTTCCTTGAATCTACATAAACCATATTTCTACTTTGAGTGAATTCAGTGTGATAAAATAGATTTACTGAATAAGTAAGTTGGGGAGAAGGAATCTGCGCCTGACACAGAGTCCTGACTTCCTGTACAGCCTCCCCACCTGACTGTGACTTCCGGGTTGGAACTTCCTGTTCTTGGTCTCCCTGAAGTTTCAAATGCGTGTCGAAAGGGAATTGGGTAGGAAGAAACTTAACAAGTTACTTGTTGTGATGACCAGAATTGGAAATTGCAGGGACTTTCATGAGATGTGACTAAGCACTTACTCCCCCTGCAGTGTTGGGACCCCTACCCATCATTTAGACACACAAAGAATTGTGGAGCTTAAGAGTCCTTAGAGATGGATTCTTCACTCCAGAACCCTTAATTCACAGATGACTGAGGGAAAGCAACCTGGCCACATGGAGCAGAGCCTGTATTGCAACTCAGTTCTCTTTCCATCCCAGCACCTATCAATGTGCTGCCCCCAGCTCATTTCTCTTTGGGAGAGAACCCTGTACCCAACCAGGAAATGAATGAAGTGAAGGAGTCACTTTGATTTCATCCCAAGAAAGGACTCTAGGTCCCAATCCTGGCTCTGCCACTACATGTCTGGATGAACTTGGGAGAGTTACACTGCCCTCTCTGGACCTTGGGCTCCTCATCTATAAAATGACTTTGACAACAGCCAGTTTCAAAAAGTAAATGATAAGTTTGCTTCTAACTCAGCTGTTTCCATGCAGCTTCCTCCAGGCAGTATTCATTTCTCACTGTAGGATTATGGAGAAAATTATAGTTGGGCTATGTGCAAAAAGACAGCCCAGAGGAGCAAGAGCCCTGTGAGTCTCTGTTACTAAGTGAGGAACGATGAGGTCAGGAGGGACAAGGCGCAGGAGAAAGGCAAATAGCCTGCCCTCCCCACACAGACCTACCACGTCATAGGGGGACGTGGCTGACCCCAGGTTTAGTTATCCCGGTTATGCTGATTTCTACAGTCTGAGGTTATCTGGCTGGTATCCACTTCTTTCCAAGACACCGGTGATTAGAGCTCTGGAACTTAAGGACACTCAGTAGCTGGATTAAGTCACATTTTCTCCTTTTAGTATATTGCTTAATGAACTAAGGGGGCCAGGGAAGTCACTGACGCAGTCCGAACATAATCTGAAAGCCACTTAAGGCAAGTGTAGAGACCCACATGTGCAAAGTTCCAGAAGAGTTTTGAGATACACTCCTTGTTTATGTAAAATTAGAAATACAGAGATTAACCAAATGTGCCATGTCATGTTAATAGAGATTTCTTTTTCCATGGTAAATCTAAGGCATTTTATGATGAATCTTTTTTAAAAAGCAAAGGAGCATCACTAATTTATCATTTGGCCCATTTTGGTTTCCATAGATCCAGTCTGGATTAACACACAATTATTTCCAAGATAGTGCATCAGGTCTGCAGCCGTCTTCCCTGTATCTGATGCTGATTTAGAGTTGGATGGGAAGAACAGGACAGGGAGGTGGAAATACAGAAGTAGATAACTTCCTGTGCATAGTCTTAGGTTCTTAATGCTGCTGGACAAAATGGAGAACTGCAAAGAGCTGTGACCTTGAAAAGTACTATTGGGACAGAATTTCAGCTCCATCATTTTGATGGAGTAGGGGCTTTGTAGGCAGCAAACCTGGCTGGAAGGGTCGCTCTAAAGGATTCTTAAAGCTACATTTGCGTGGCACTTCACATAAGATTGAAAAATGCCAGTAGACCTTGTCAATGGGAGGGAGCAGCTTTTGGAAATTCAGGCCTCTTCCAGCTCCTTCCTGGCCCTTCGGGATAATAATTGTCCTGCTGAGCCCTCTAGTGGCCGTACTGGTAACTACAGGAGACCGTGGTGAGAGGGGAGGAAGTCAGACGCTGTGGAAAGCCCCAAAACACAGTTTTTTGGTGCTTGGTGGCCTGTCGGTGTGGGAACATGCCCAGATGGCTGCTACCATGGTGATGATGACTTTGCCTTATCATCTGCCTCTGGTTATTCCAGCGTAGTTCTGGGATCTGCCGGACCCTTCAAGACTTGTGCTTAGACAATACCCTAACCCCACTGTTACCTGAAACCAAACTGAGTTCCCAAGAGTCTGAAGAGCCAGCCAGAGGTCTGGCCACCTGACAGGCATATGTACTAACCCACGTCTGTCCCCCGGGGTCCTAGTGTTGACCCACCTGACTTCGGGGTCAGGGGACCCTGTACTTTCCCCGGACATTCAGCTCCAAAAGGGACAGAACACCAGCCCGCCGCTGCCTCCCACACTTCCTCAGGGCTTCCGGGAACAGTAAGTAGGTTACACCTGACTGACACAAGGCTAAATTGTTTTAATTGTTCTAACCCAATGGTTTTCAAAGTGTGGTCCCCAGACCAGCAGCATCAGCATCACCCAGAAACTTGTTAGAAATGTGGATGCTTAGGCCCCACCCCAGACCTACTGAATCAGAAGCTCTGTGAGTGGGGTCCAGCCACCTGTATCTTTCAGGCTTCCGGGTGACAGTGAGACTCGCCCTGGTTTGAGGCCCCTGCTCCAAGTAGTGATTCACAAACATCAGTATATAAGTGATGGCAAACTCTCAGCTTACTTAAATGTGGATGCTGACCCCTCACCCACAGGGATTTCATAGTTGTGCAGTGAGGATGCAGAAAGATGATTCATAAGCCATCATTCCATATAATTCTGATGGGAGCGATCCACACATCACTGTTTTGAGGAAGTCTGTTCTTAAAAGAACAGGGCCACCTTTGCCAGGACGGGTTAGCTTCCTCTCTTGAATGAGAGATAAAGAGTGTTCTCATATTTCCCCGGTTGTGAGAGAAACCTCGGTAAACGTTTCAGATACTCCAGGCCTTTGACGGAGGTCTCCCTTGGCAGATGAGGTGTTGCTGCAGCTGTGAGGAAGATCTCAGTGGGGTCTGTATCATAATTCAACATGAGCCCTTCCTCTGGAAAGAAACAATAGTTACTGAGGGGACAGGAAGAGCAGGAGGCCTGCAGATCCTGGATCTCTGGTTGGTATGTCAGACTCAACCAAGAAGCTGTGTGCCATCTTGGCTATGAGTCCATCAGATAGCGAGTTGCCTTTTTCTTTTCCTTTCTTGAACAATTCGAGATTTAGTAGTACTTTCTCAGTGAGGCCCAAGACGTTGGTTCATTATATTACTGTTAGGAGGAAAGAATTTTCAAGACTTGAGGTTATGAGTGCAGTTGGCTTATATGGCACCTGCATTGATCACTCTGGAAAAATAGAGTTCATTTGTTGTGAAGATTCTTATGAATGAAAAAGCCCAGGTCTTCTCATCACAGCTCTGGGCCCTACTGGGAGATCGGGACGGTGGTGGGGGGTTTGCCAGCATTCTTCTATCCCATTGAACATTCCCATTTAAACACATCCCCCCCAGTTTTCTGCCAAGCACCCACACCTTCATGGGGTGCTAATTCATTGAGCTGTGCTCTGAGAAGACTCTTAAGCACATTTCAGGACTCCTACGCACTCACATTTTCAAGAATCTGACAGGAACAGAGAGAGAGATGTGGTACTGACATTCCTTGTCTCCACCCAGGATTCTCGGTCCTTGTCAAGAGGCTTGTGTGCAGGAGTATGTCTGCTTGGGGGAGCATCTTTACCAGGTCAAGTCTTTAAAACCACGCGGGTAAAGCAGGCAAAAATGCTCACTCCCTTTCTTCCTTCCCTCCTCCTCCTTCCCTCCCTTCCTTTGTTGACACTTTCCTTCCATCTTCTTCCCTCCCCATTTCCCCATGCTTCCTTTCCTGTGTTTTCTGTGCTTCTGTGAATTTCTCCAGCTTTTTCTCCCCTCTCCTCTTCTTGTTGGGCCTCCCATAGTCCTTATAAGCAGCTCCCCTTCCCCACCCCAGGAGTCGCAAGAGCCTCACCAGCATTAACTGCTGAAACCACAGGCATCCTGCCAGGCAGGGAATGTCACCTTAATTTACTGTAAAACATAATTAAAAGACAGATCTCCCGTCTCCCCTCGCTCAGACAGAGGGAGACAGCAGGGAAGCAAGGAAGGGAAAAGCAGCAAAGGAAAATTCAAAAAGAAGCCACAAACAGTGTCAAATTTTAAACTCTGTGTTCAGAAGGAGTGCAACCCACGCTGTCCCCAGCCCTGGGGTCTGGTAAAAGCACCAGGCTTAAGTCGGCAGGAAACAAGAGGAAGAAGCAAAGGGGGAAATGCTAAAAACAGGGCAGTCGTAAAGAGCAGAGAAAGCTTTTGTCCAGAGGATAGACCACTCTTCCCA